GGGGGACTCCACAAAGGTCACTTGAAGAAGCTGGAAGTTTTCCTGCACCATAGATGTTTGGCGGAATACTTTCGGCCAACAGGGGCCATGGGTGCCTTTGCAAATGGAACATATGCAGCGTTTCTAATCCTTTTGCTCATGTCACTTCTCGAGATTCAGACTCCGAACTCACAGACCCAGCCAATTGGGCATTGGGCACTTGTCCTGGTAGCCCTCATCTGGCCTCGTAGATGATGATGCCCAGGTTGAAGATGATGATCAAACCCATGCACGTCTCAAAGAGCTGGGACAAAACCACCTACCGAGGTAGGGATTCAAGGACCCACGGGGCGGGTCTCCGAAATGGAACGAACCTCCAGGGCCCAGGGCCCAGGGGATGATGATGGTGGATGATGAAAAGTACAGAACCTTCCCCAGAGTTGTCATCATTTTTCACTTCTAGTGGGTTGAGAGTACATGGCACAGTCCCCAAGTTGGGTTAAGTAGTGGACCCCCATCTTTTAAGGACGTCTTGAAGGTGCCAGTGCCATCGAACCTCTGAAACCACTACAGTATAAGTTATACTGGTTTACTGGGACACACTCAGGTCAAGGAGTTGTATTGTTATGAGGTCAAAGAGTGAGGGCCACAGCTCCATCATCTTCCATCCGCCGGTCAGTAAGGCATCCAAGTCCAGGATTCAGACTGCAGGCAAAACGTCCCCCAGTCTCAGCATTCCCTACCAGAGGAAACTGAGTGACCCCCGGATTTGGAGCCAAAACATGTTCTTTAGTCTTCTGGGAATCTTCTACTCGGTTGGAGCCTCTTTCAGACGACCGAACACTGATTTCCGCGAACTTGCGCCGTTTTTCAAGAAATCGCTAGAACTTGAACTCCATGGTTCTTCAATGCGACCTATTGAGATCCTGCCTGGTTCGAGGCCTGTTTTGCGCGAGTTGTTCCTGATTTCCTGTTGCTTTGGTTCGTCTCAAACCCATGGATTTCCCCCTGTGACCCCACCACACACACATTAAATTAGACATCATTAAAGTCTTGCGAACGATGGGTCCACGTTGTTCTGTCGACCGTTGAACCTTGGCCAAGGCAGTCATCCCACCTTGTGAACTCACTCTCCTCACTCTTGCACAAACGCTCATCTCCAACATCTCCAACCACCCACCCCTTGCAAAAATGATTTCAGCTGAGAGGCAAAAAAAACAGCTTAGTCCAAGAAATATCGGGGCACCAATCCCTTCAACCAGAAAAAACGATCCATCCCGAGCTCCTCTTTTGCTACCTTGGCCCAAATTTGACCCCACCTTGGCCACGCGGATCCTCACGTCGCTCCAAATCTGGTTGCCCTCTTCGTCCAGCCAGGGCTTCCGGTCGAAGGTCACGTAGCGACCTCGTTGCGGCGAAAATGGGTCGTCCGCGGTGGTCGAGGGGAAGAGCAACACGACTGTCGATGGCAACATACCTGGGGTGGGTTTTGGGGGGTCTAACCACCTTCTCACGAGGTGGTTGGAGCCCTAGGGATACATCTTATCATTTTGATGTTCTTGATCGAACGCAATGGCTCAGAATGGCTCAGAACATCTCAGAACTGTCTTTGCCAGCGGGACTGCTTTACTCCTATGCAACCTCTAATATCGTCTAATCTCTAACTTGTGTTTTGTCACCACCTGTGTCAACGATCTTGTCCCATCCTTCCCTCATGGGCCCATCAACCTGCGAACAGCAGCATTTCATGTCCACTCCCCCTTCACCGCAGATCAACCGTTGTCACAAATCAGGGAGATAACTTGAGATAACATCCTGTAGGGGCAGAAGAACATTCCCAACTACCTCGATCCGACTTCAAATAAGAAAATGGGACACGACCATATAAGAACAGGTACTTGTGTAACGACCCATTTTCGATCTACTTTGAAACTCCATATGTTCTTTTTGGGGGGGCCAAAGACTTTGCCCTACAGTAGGGAGCAAGTTTGGTATCTGTTTCATTTGGCTGGAAAGCAGGTGAGGTCATCACCCAGCTTCGCAAGCTGCACAGGGGGAGAGTTCCAAACCTGTCGCGCTCCGAGGTCCGTGTTGCTGCCCAGCTGCGGCTTTGGATCACCGCTAAGGTGGTTTGAAGATGGTCAATCTCTTCAAAGCTCAAGCTCACATCCTCAAGCTCGTTGGATTCCACCGTTGCCACGTTAGTTTACATTGCGTCTCGTCAAGTTGGTCATCAGAATTCAACATGCCGGTCACCAGCTGGTGAAACTGTTTAGTTTGGAATTCCACATTGGACTGTAGTTCCAAAACTTAAAAGTTCAAGCAAAACATGGCCAGTTGCCCTTCAGATCATGAATCCCTTCCATTTGCATTGGCGCCGCGGCGCACCTGTTTGTTTTGGACAGTTTCGATTTGGGTCCATCCTGCTAACTCACATGGACCCTGAAAACCGCGCAAACCATGCAGCTAGAGGGAAAGCGTCTAGACATCTAGATCAGGGCTTTTGGGGGAGTTTTGGGACTATGTCAAGCCGTTGTTGCTTTCTTGTCTGCTTCGTTAGGGAGACCTTCATCACTTCCCACCGGGCATCCGTCAGCATCCGCTTGGGTGAAGACACCACCTGGAAGTGTCCATGATGAAGCGTCCGGGCCAACCCGTCTCGGTGGAGGTCCGTGAATTGATGTCTGAGGATCTGTCCCGTCAGAATCAAAAAACTATGTGTACATGTTGCACATGTGATGCCGGTTGATTAAATGTATGCACGATTATGAACGTGTATATAATCAACTTATAAGTAAATGAGGCGGCCAAATCACATAATCATTTGACGCTGTGGGGGATCTTATGACATAATGTGGCATAGCACCAATTGAGCCAGCATAACATAGTATAACCTTCCGCCACCCATAATCACATGCAGGCTCCAAGCCCCTCCAAACCCCGAAAGCATCCGAAAGCTGATGGGATTCGCCACGCATGTATATACCCTAGAAGTCGAACCACCATCTGTTTCATAACCTTTACCTACAACAACCATTGTTTTACTAAGTGTTTTACAGTACAAAACCAGATCAACCATTTTTTAAAAAGGCCTTTGACTTCCAGGGTATACATAATTATTGTAGCTGCACGTGCCAAATACATCCAAATCATACCCAAAATGTCTGGGGGTTATGTGGATGGCTGCAATGAAACTGCGAACCTCAAGTCAAGAATTCATGAACAGAATGGTTCAGCCGAGCCAGGTTGACTCCTACTAGCCTATATAAAGTGCATGTATCAATGACATGATGTTGAAGGAAAAACATGGGGAGACAAATAACAACAAAAACACCCAGCTTGTGCCATGGTGACGGTGACATGACCTGCGTGATGGGGTATCCCTGACACGGTTTGTTATCTGTGCTTTTTCCAACGGTTTTGGCTTCATCGAGAGCATGCCTTCCATCATGATGGCACTTGGAGACTCAGCTCAGGATTCCAACGCCAAAGATGCACTGTGAGTAACACATCACATAATTAGAAGTGCATGGCAGGCACCCCAAGGGGGGCCATCCTCCATATCTCTCTCCCTAACCCTATTCCTTTGTGATGTGTTTGTCCCTTCGTGTCCCTTCGCGTGAACCTCATGGACGCATTGCCACGAAAAACCACCGCCTACGGTCCAACCAGTCGGACGGTGATGTTTCACCACCACTTCCGAAGGAGAACGTCCATCCTCTTCACCAAAACCGAACGCGGTCCACCCCACCCCTTTCGCCGGGTGGCCGTTTGCCCCGAGGGCTTCGTCACCACTGGGACCTCACCACGGTCGCCCATGGGTGGCGGACCGGCGCCCTACAGAAGGCGAGTGTGGGGCAAAAGGCGGTCAGCTGATGCAGCTGCGGATACAAACCACGCGAAGCAAGCCAAGTCTGGTGCAAGTGAATTCATCACACAGTTTCTATCAGCACACATGAAATAAATACGGTTCTTTGATTCATATATACGTTGTTTCATTGTGTTCTCCTGAATTTGGTAGAAACCCCATGAAGATTCATGAAACTCCTAAATTGATCTAACTTGTGTTTTGCTTTCTTCCTCGGGCACATCACATCCTTAGACTAGTTACTAGTTTAAACCAGTTTGGACAAACCCAGTTCTGTTGAACATGATGTACGTTGTATGACTGAAGTAATTTAGAAGTTGTATGTACCGTAATAGTAATTGTTTAAATTCAACATGACCTAGTTTTGGAATGTTTGGATACTGCAGCTGGTCCTGTAACTTTAAATCATTCGTTTTGCAGGTGAGGCTGCCCAGGACACCACTGGCGTGGGCGACCACATCTACAATTGGTCGCCCACACTGCTGACCCTGTGCGATGAGTTGCACGTTCTTTTTGGATGGATGGTCCTAAAGCAAACGAATCGGTTGGTCCTTCATGCGGCGCTCGTACAACCGTGTCTTCCCCGGGTGCCAAAAAAAAGCAGTGCCTTGACTCAAGGCGCAAAAGAGCCGTTTTCGGTTCACCCCCAAAGAATCAATGGAAGTGGAGTTCACCACCTCTTGGAGCCGTTTCATTTCACCCCCCAAACAAACAATGGAAGTGGAGTTGACCCCCCCTCTTGGTAAAGGGAAAATAATCTTCCAAAGGGTGGTCTACTTCCATGATTGGAGGGGGAGTACGTTCGAACTTGATGCTGGGAGCGCGATGAACAAGCACCCATGCAGGACGGACAAATCGATGTCCAGTACACAAAGTGGAGGGACCCAGGACGGAACTCCTCAACATCCTTTGAGAATCCTTGACATGCAAGCGGTTGACAATTGCACTCATGATCAGTCTGACCTTAAAGTTATAAAGCCTTATTAAAACAAATCCTTGTTCAACAATGATGCAGCAAAACGCGCATGGATCCTCCTGGTTTTTCCAGGCAGGGCCACCAACCCATGTACGCTTCTCATGTTGGATGAGTAGACATGGCTTGGTCGATCGGTTCGACGGCTGCGCTGCTCTCGCGCTCATTGCAGCGGGTTTCTGGTCCAACTCGTCGTAGATGGAATCGAACTCCTGGTGAAACTGCAGCCGAGGCCGCCCGCAGCACCCTCCAACGAAAAGACAGGAGCCACGCAGCCAAGCAGAATTAAATTTTCAGATCCCATTGTGTTGGTGTCCCAGTTGCATCCCATGATAAATTCTGATAAATGATGGCAATTCAATAGATCTCGCCCCACTTTAGACAAATAATACAGATACTCCAAGTTGGATCCGCTGATCGACAAGGCTCATCATCATCACGCCGCAGGAGCCACCACGCAATAGCCAAGCTACTGGTGCCTGTTCAAGTTAGTAATAATTACTGTGTACATGTTTCATCTGGGATAGTAAACCATCATGGAAGGGCACTTAGGTCAAGACTGCTGGCCTACCCCAAGTTTCTCCCTGGGCCCCAAAAGACGCATTCCGGTCAAAGACTGGGATGAACTACTACCGAACCCCTAGTGTGTCAGCTGGATTTCATGGAGAAACACCAATCCACCACACGTCTCCTGCTTCTGACGCTGGTCACCTTCGACTCGCTGACCTCATCTCGCTTGCCACTCGAGAAGAAGCTGTGCCCCACCGAAGGCGCTGTGGTGACGGCGGTCTCCCTAACCCAAACAGGACTGGCAAAGGGACCGACGCATTGGGATGGTTTTGGGTTAGTAAATAAGACATATGCAAGTCAAAGCATCCCATTGGGTTTAGTAACGTATGGATTTACAGTTTGGTTCTTTATGTCTGACCACGTGCAACAAATGTTTTTTTTTGTCAGTCAAAAGCGGGGCCCAGGTGGAAACCCGAACAGCAATGTCAAAGGTGGGGCCAGTGTTGATTGGAAGGAGGCGTCTTGCCCATCCATATTATACAAAATATACAAATCGGGTGACCAACGGGGGCTCATTTTTTCCTCATATTTTTTCAACGTCCATGCTGCACCCACGTGGAAACCGCGCTGCGAACCTCGACCTCCGATCTGCCGCTGGCGTGACGCTCGAGCTTCCGGAGCTCGTCGCTGTTCCGGGCGATGTCGACGTCATGGGCGGCACTCTTCACCTGGGCAGTCGCCAGAACGGTCCGACCGACGACCCAAGGGGGGCCATCTTCAGAACTCGCAGCCCTGAGACGAGCACAGGACATGCATTGCTTCAAATGTGCGATTGAAATCCGCAGCCATACCATACCTTCAAGATCCTTCAAAAGTGCTGCTGGGTTCTATGCCCGGGCTCAAAAGTGAGTGGAAAAGGCATCATGGTCACTGCAAAGCCCCTGGCTAGTTTCAGGGTACCCCATACCGGAACTTGACTTCCTTATGTTGTTGAGTCACTTGGTCTACTTGGTCCCAATGTACAGGGGTAGTGACTTGCGGCACAAGCTATGCTGCTGAAACAAGGTCTTGCATTGAAGCCCCAGACTGTTGGGTTCCCAATCGGTACCCGCCACGCGGCACGGCCGCCAGCCCTGCGAATGCAGATTCTGAGCTCTCAACGGTGAGGCTATTCACCTCATCCCTCAGCTTTCCGATGTCGCGCTTGCACCTGAGGTCGGAAACAGGTCTTAGACATCTGGCGCACCATTGATTCAGCCTCAATCCCGAAGCACCATGGTTTTCCGAAAGCCTAGGCTGGGACATCTGCAGCTGCAAGGTATGATACACAGATACATACAGTACTTTGGATCAGTTGCACAGCAGTACCAACAACAAGGCAAAAGGTACTTCTGGGACCCTTCCCTACTTACCCACTGGCTTGGTGCCATGAGAACGCTTGCTCTGGCAAGGTAAATCTGGTGTGCACTACGGAGGGTACATCGATCCTCTGTGCGGTGTCTGTCCAAAACCCAAAAACCGCAGCCGCGGTTTTGTGGTCCATTCCGTTCGCCGCTGAAAAACGAAAAAAAAACCATCGGCTTACTTCAGGATTCACTGCGACGAAGAAAGGGTGCAAAGGTGAACCGAAACCCACGGGAGTTCTATCCTCCTCCTGTTGGCCGCCAGTGTCTGAGTGGGCCAGACTCGCCCGTCGCCCCTTGCAGTGCGGCGAGGCCTCGGGTCGTTTGGAAGGCTGCAAACGAATCTGGCCGTTTGAAACACCAGGTCAAATGGCTCTGGTGATAAATCATCAACTTCAGCACATTCCGTCAGCGGGATCCATCCCAACTAAAGCCTGACAACATAAGGCTGTGGAACGAGAGGAACTGATGGGCTGTTCTGGGGAGTGGTCAACGGTGCAAAACATGCAAATCGAAACCGTTTTGGGAAGGCGGTTCAGAGTGCCGAGACCCGTGTCATTGGAGTTCATTCTTTTGACCTGTTTCAGTTGAGCAAACAATTCAACCGAGATGTATCTTATATGTATATATATAGATCTGGCCGGCCTTTCAAGCTGTATCAAATGCATCCGAATCGCATGATCTGGTGGTCCAATCGAACAACCAAACCTCAAAGTATATAACATGGAGGAACTCATGGAGGATCCTGGATATCCCGGACTCCACCACACCAGACCGCAATGCTGTCTGGGCACGGAGGTCCATCGCATTCAGGTGCTTTTGGGTGTCCTGGCGCTAGCAAATTCAATCAGGGCTCTCCAAATCAAACCACGTTTTGGGAGCCAAATTCCGAGGGCAAGTGTTTCAGAGCTGTACAAGGCCATTCTGGATTTCAAACAGGGCGTCACCTCAAGACAGTGTTCTTTTGCCACCAGCCTGGAAGACACTAAGTCACTAGGCAAACCGCCTCACAAGAGGCGACGACCACCTCTCCATCCTCTTCGTGCTCTGCTCTCGCGCAGTCGCGCCGGTGGGAGGCTCCTTGGTGACCTTCGTTTGCTGTTGCTCCAAAAGGTCAAGGCGATCTTGTGTGTTCTTGTGGAGCTCGTCGCCCTCATCACAAGCTAGTAGCTAGCACTTCCAAAGCAAGCTGAGTTGAAAAAACAGATATGCAACCCCTCATCACAACAACCATTATCAAATAAGCCATCCTGGAAGACATATGCAAAAGCACAAAACACAACACAACCCCCTGCTTATACCCCTTGCTACCAACAGTTCTCAGGTTGACACCCAGGATTCTACACATTAAACCCTCTCTTGCCAAGGTGAGATTTGAGTAATTGAGTTGTGCCCAAGTTTTTTTAGGCAGAAGGGGTTTCTAATAAAACTCCACCACTGACTCAATCTTCCTAAAAGCCTTGGACCTGGGAAAAGAAAACATCAGGGTCATTTTATACATATTGTATATCATTACATGCTGATTTATATGATGCATTATGCAGAGTCTCGTAGAGGAATTGACCTTCCAAAGGATGGAACACGTGCAACCTTCCAGTGTTGCAACCGCATCATAAAGCCCGATCGTTTCGATCAATCTTCTGGAAGAACGAGCTCAAATGGTGTGGAAGAAGGAAGGACAGATCTGGGCAAGCAATTTGCAGCCAGCGTGGATTGAATGATTGAAGAAATGTGCGTACAAATCCTTACAATCTTTCTGTGTAAAAGTCCAGTTACTGTCATTCCCTTCCAGGAACCTTGAGGTCTTAGGGGTATCGACCAAAGAGGACAAACTGAGCGGGTGAGTGCAACGTTCCAGCTCCAGAGAAAGAACAACGCTGCCGTTCCCATCTCTCACTTCATTCTACTAGCCGAGCTTGCTGAAACTTGCTGCAGTGAGCAAAAATGCTGACATGACTTCAATGAAATCCTGTCTTCCCTGCAACACCTTTATAATTATATCAGAATCCAGGTGCCCTACCGATCACATAACCTAGGCACCCTGATATCAAAAAACGAGTGGAAACTGGATTCGTTTCTGCTTCGAGAATGACTTGGTAACCTTACTTTTGTTTAGTCCTTCAGGACCATGTCACCAGATGTCACGTAATGTCCCGATTTCGGCACATGATGTCTCGGGGGATCTGAATAGCATGCGATGCGACCACTTCAAGCAGCTTGGCTGATGGCCACTTGACACCAACACAATTGGAAACGTGTTCCCTTGCTGGGAATCACTTCTTTCAATCTCTAACTATTTCACAAACGTTTCGAGGGCATCACAAACCAAACCCTTGTCATCAAATGTCATCAACACACCTTTTGCGCAAGCAAAGGAGTCATGATTTGCGCCGAAAACCTGGTGTTTAGTGCTCTGCACTGCTCATGATTCAAGCGAATCATTTTGCTACTACCCGACCCGTGATATATCTCTGTATCTTCTGCCTCCACGCTCTTCACTCACATCCTCATGAAATAAGACAATTCCAAAGCTCTAAAGAAACCGTAACCTTCATACGAGGCTGCGACCCGTCACTGGACGTCCACCCGAAAGCCCAGGCGTGCAAAGCCCCACGCCGAGGCATCTGCTCGAGTGGAGAAACAGGCTGACCCCGGTGGGAGAACCAGGTGAAGCGGGTCTGCGAGTCATGCGTACGAACTTCTGCCAGCGAGGTTTGTCAGTTTGTGGGTAGTTTGTGCCTACATTACTACATCGCCCTTGGCCTGAACTTTTTGTGACAGGGGCTTGTGACACAAGCACGGCTGATGGCCTAGCTGCCTAGCTGGGTCACACGCAGCTCAGACCGAGGACCTATCGGACCTGATTTTGACCACGGTGTTGGAGTTGGGCTAAGGTCTTACGACCCCTAGGGCTCCAGTCGTACCTTCTTAGAAGGTGTTTGGGGAGGGTTTAGAGGGTCCAAATACCTTCTGAGGAGGTACTTGGAGCCCTAGGGGACGTCTTAAGCAAGTGTGAGGCCCGCCGGCTTCGCCAGCCGCAGAACGTGCGGAAGATAAAACACACCAGCGCCATTCGCGCGACGCGCCTGCTTCTTCATGCAGGCGTCCACACCGGTAATCCGGCTCTCCAGCTGCTCCTTCTGCTGCACCATCTGCCGCAGGAATGCCGGAATTCGAGAAGGGACGGCGGGTGTAGCAACCCAAGATACTAGTAGGGAGGGATTCTTGTTGTACTTTGCAGTTTGTCTGTTAAGATTCCAGTGAGCAAAGGAGAGGCCCCTGCCAAGGCTTTTTCTACCAGCTTGAGGCTTGAGCCCATAGTAGATCATTGAAACATATTGAAACGATTTCGAGATTTTGCAGGGACACTGGTTTACAGGGCTTGCTTTCTCCATGTGCAACACTCCAAGGATGGTCAGTTTGTATTTCCAAAATGGGACACAGATCTTAAAGCTGGTGGGGTCTTCGGCTTGCATACTGCCCAACCGGAGACGGTGCTGAGCCGCTGGACGCGCTTTGGTCGCTGAGTGACGACCTTCGGTGTTTTTGGTGCCTTCGGTAGCTGGACCCTCGGTGGATGGACCAAGCGGAAATCGGGTCTGGACGAGCAGCTATCATGATACCCCTCTGCTGAAGAAGAAGGTGGTCATGACATGGAATCGAGTTGCATGGCTCTTAATGGGTCACAGCACCACGGATTCCGGGTGTCATAGCCCCGAAAAGAGGTGATTCGGGGTGTCCATCAACCACCCCGCGGATCCGAAAGGGGTCCTGGAAGAAAAGACCTCTTGGCGTTTTGAAGCCTGGCATTTGGAAGAAGTTCTCGGAAAAGTCCATCAACCAATGGTCTTTAGGGGTGTGGCATGATGTCCTTGGATGGACTTTGAGGGAAGCAAGTCTCATGCATCCAGCATGTCTCATGCAGACCGACGCATGTCCGCCTGGCCCTCTAAGGCTTGATGCGTCTCGGCATGCCGCAGCAGTGTGGCCTGGAGGAACGACCCCAACCGCTTCCGGGAACGACCACCGCCCCAGGAAGCGAATGGGAACCCACTCGGACGCCCGCTTCCGCAAGTGGACCGCCTGGGGGGGCGATGGGGGGTGAACAAGGCCGTAACAAGGCATCCTTCCTAATCATCGGAACAGATTGGGAGTTCAATCTTCGAGCATCTCAACAACGAACGGAAGAAGACTGTACACTCCCCGGACTGATCATGATTTCATGGATGGCATGGACCCTTGGATGACCACAACCATACCTCCCACAAACAGGGGCTTCTGATTCTGCACTTTTATGTTAGTTCCTGCAACCATACCTCCCCGAGTTGGAGTTCCGATGTGCCCATCAGTACCCACCTTTTTCACACGCAGTCATAGGGCCACCCAATGATGTCAAATGTTTCATGGATGACCTTGCAATGGATCAGCATAAGCTTTACGCTGGACGCTTACCGCGACCTAAATGCCAGAATATACATATTTGAATCCGTCAAGTTCTTGAGTCAGAAATTCTCTACTTCTACTCTACCAGGACATCTGCAAACTTGACTCTCTTACAAAAATCGTTCTTCATCTCCACTCCGCTCGACACTCGCTCGAGAGCGCGAGATAGACATCCGGTGCCTCCAGCGCACTGCACTGCTCCTGGCGCGCTTGCAGGCGTTCCTCCAGCTGGCGGCTGGCCTTGCCGGCATCGCCTCAGATCCATCGAGGGGGTGTAAAACGAAGATTGAAACCAGGGGGGGGTTTGGGGAGTCTCCCCTTTTTGCTTGAGATTGAGATGCTGAAGTACTAGAGCAAACATCAAACCGGGGTTCGAGTCTGAAACCGGCTGCTACATAATTCAGCCGGTCGGATTATGTCGGATTTGATCTCAAAGTCAACTAGGCAAAGCTAGGAACGAAACGCGGCATATGAGCCCAGGCAAGCCTCCACGAATGACTGCAAACAGTTGGATGTGCATGTAGCTCCCTGAGAGAGCTGGAACCATGAGAGCTTAGCATATTGGCACAAGCAGCCTGGCTTGATCTATGGCCGCCTATAACTCCCAAACAAAGAGAGATGAGCATCTAGTGTCACCCAAAACTGCAGAAAACCAGGACCCATCTGTGTGCTCTGTGGGTGTTATGTCAATGGCCTCCGGCGCACGCCGTGCGCTCGGGCTGTAGTCTCAAACGAATGGACAAGACAAGCATGCAATATGTCTAGCCCTCAGAATTGGCTTGGGTGAGCACAGAACTTCTGCTATACCATGCTATATCACAAGCATGCTGCAGAAACGGCACAAACCTACTACAGTTCCATCCTTGGCGGCCACAGGCCAGGCAGCAAGCAGGCCAGGCAACACCGCAAGCCATGACGACGGTCGGGTCCATACGGCAGGTTCAGCTGTGCAACACCCTCCAGCAGAGGTGGGTCAGAACCCGAACGTTCGACTATCCTAGTTGGGTACTCCTGGTTTTCCGGGTCCTAGTTCAGGTCACTGGCTACCTCTGTAGGCTCACCATCCCTCTGTAGCGGCATCGTCCCTGGTCGTCCGCTCAGGCGCGGGAGATCTCCGTGGTCTTGCTGTTGATCTGGCGAGTGGGGCGCCGTTGGACGACCCGGAGAAGGGGAGAAGGGCCCGATTCGAGCCACAGGGGAAGGTGGGACTGGGGTCCCAAACTGATGCTCATGGGGTTTGGCAGGAGGGTACACAGATATACAATGGATTGTGTGGTTGACAAGCACGGAGTTAGTTCATCCACTTGAGAAAAATGTTGTGGAAATGGCCACTTGAGCCATTGAGCATCTTGGAACCATCAGCAACATCCGACAGACATGTCGAGTGAAATTTGGCTCCTCCAACTTGGCACGATGTCAGGCCAACTTGGCCTATGGATGAGAACGCCAACAGTACAAGTACAAACAACAAACTGGGCATGAGTTAGTATAACTAGTATGTTTAAACCTCGAAACATGCCCAAAACCATCGAATCTTCCCCCCCCCACCCCAAAACCACAAACCATGCCTGGCCCATCCCACCATATACCTAGATCTTCAGTCCGGCACTTTTACAGGGTCCGGTGCCGGACTTCCAACTCCGGCGTTTTTCTGGATTTGGTCCGGCGGTTTTTTCCAAGTCACTTGAAATGTGGATTCTCAAGGCTTTGCATTCTTTGTGGCTTGCATTTCTTTGAAGGTAATGATTTGCTTGCAAAGTGTGCTCATTTGCCTGTTCCGCTGTTTTCTCATTCCACCGGTTTCAGCATGGTTCACACTGGATCAATCAGATCCGTTTAGGTGATCTTCTAAGTGAAATCGGATGAAATTGGTACAGTGCGATGCACGTGTTGAAAGACCCAAGTGGGAGTACCTAAGCTGAAAGAACATAGGCAAAGATGTACTCCCATTGTTTCAGGATGTCGGGGCGCTGGGATATAATTAGTTCTAGTTGCGCAGGTTTGCAGAGCCTGCCGGACAAGTTTTGGGCTGTGGAACATGTGTTGTTCAGAATCTCAATGTTTTGCAGAGAGTTGCTAAGAAAAATTGCACGTCGTAACTCCGGCGTTTTTTCCCGTAACTCCGGCGTAATTTCCCGTAACTCCGGCGTATTTTGTTGGACTCAGTCTTTTGAATTTTGAAAAGTTTTTCAACTAAGAGTTTCGACAGGAACCATGAGTGCTGCTACTTTATTGGCGGGGCCGTCCTGAGGCAAGCAATAAAAAACAATTTAAAACTATATAAGAATCATGGAGAGCCACTTTGTAAAAAACAATTAGAGACACGGGTGCAGAGAAATAGGGGTTCCTTGCCACATACTCCTTGGTTTCTTCTTGGAAGTCTTTGCTTGGGCACAAGTTTGCTTATATTGGTTCTGCTCTTAGGCCATTCGGAAGATGGGCGAGGGCAATGGGAACGGGAAGGCTCCAGTGCTGGGTTGTGGAATGAGTGTGTTCCAGAAAAAACTACTTGTGGCGCAAAGGCAGTTTGCTTGTGTATGATCCAGCCTTTTATCATCTCTGTTTTTCAGAATCTTGGATCCGGATGTTTTTTCAGGTCTCCGGCGTTTTTTTTCGGAATCCGGCGGAAAAATTTGCCGGATTGAGGTCCGGCACTTTTTTCCGCCCAAAGGAGGATCCAGGTATACCCAGGCGCTCTTCGCGTCGCGGGACCTCGTCGCGGTCTACGTGTCTTCTTGCTGGTTTCGCATGTTGCCTTCTCATCCAGGCTGGAGACCTCGGAGCGGATCCGCAGCAGCTCCTCGGATCGGGTCGAGCAGTCGACCGCGGGACCAACCCGCGTCGCGTGGTTGTGACCGCGACGACATGCAGTTTTGGAGTGAGACCACCGCATGAAGCGACCCAAGGAAAACGAAGCTTGACACCTGAACAAGGGAAGTCCGGAGATCCTGGATAGGAAGTAAATGTATATAAGTAGTGTGTGGGGGTTGCAGGAAGGTGACCCCTTTGAAGGTGCTGGTAGATAGACTATATAACCCATTATATATATATATATATAATAACCCTCCAACAGGTTTTCTCTGGTGGCTTTTGGGGACTTTTAAAGTCGCACGTGGTGACCTGTTGGAGGGTACTGGCATGTCCTGGCATGTGTGATTATATTGTGTTTTCTATTGATTAGGCATGGCGTCTTTTCTTTACAACATTGTGTGGACCTTGATTGATTTGCCAATTGGTAGTGCTTGGTGTTGAACGTTTTTTGGATGTGCACCTCCCTGATACAAACAACAAATGAACACAAAACAGTTGTAGTAGTACAGTTATAGGCACTGCTAAAGACAGTTTCATGTTTCTGAAACTGGAAGTTCTCTGAAGGGTGTGACTTTGCTTGGCGGGTTCCTCCGAGGAAAAATGAGTTGGCCCAAATCATGCTAGTTTCGCATTATTGTTTTTTGGACGAACTGAATGAAACAGGGAACCAACAACCAAGCTCCACGAATATACAAGCATGAAGTCAAAAGGTCCACGGGTGCATGCGTTTTTAGAAAACTTAAACTGTTGACAGTGGAAGTAGGGATGAGGCTGTCAATAGGATGCAAAGGGACATCAAATTGAAATTTAAGCCTGTCTGAGTGTCGCCTTGAGACTGAGAAACATTGACACTGGACTCCACCTCCCACAATCACACCACCCAATCAGTCGGTTCCTCATCCACTCGACGCCGGCGGCTGTCCACCTGAGCCAGTTTCCGGATGGGGACACCGCGGATGCAGACGGGTTTCCCTCATCCGCTTTCGTTTCAACAAAAAGGTGAGATTCCGAACGGTTCCTCATGCGAACGGACGTGAGCTCTGCAAGTCGGTGCGCCGTTTTGGCTGCCGCGCCTCAAAGCGTAGGGAGGATGCCATGTCCCTCACCTTGGCCGTCGGCCCGTCGGCGTCACTGGGTGTGACCCCAAAGATTCTGAAAATCCTTCTCAGTCAATGTTTGTGGTTCAAAATACTTCGAAGTAACACATAGTTGTGACGGGGACCATTCTAGTGGATGACAGGTTAGTACCTCTACAGTAGTAGACTCAAGTGCGTAAGACATTTGATCACAATTGGTAAAAACTGTCATGATCATCTATATATGTACGCTATACAAATAAAACTGTATAAAAACTGAAATAATAGTAAAAAGTAAGCTATACCTCTGCTCCCGTACTCCCGTACTCCGGTGTCACCAGGTTGCTGTTCGAATGGAAGCATCGACATCGTCGTTCCTCGGAGCGGAACCGCGTTGCTCCCGGGGGTTCCCTCAAGAAAGAGGACAGCTCACTGTCCCAAAAAGCGAAGTGGAAAGAATTCTGCTAAGAACTCCGAACCAAAAAACGTGCTTTGGGTGGATGACACAGGTCACAGGTCGATGAAGGAAGACAGCGAACCTTCACCAGCTGAAGAGCTTCGGAACAAGTGAAGTGTCCTTTTTGGAGTGTCATCCAGTGACCGAACGCACAGGCCTTTTCGTGACCAAACCAACCAAAGGATCAAGTTTTGAAGAACCGGGCAGCGACTGTGGCTTCCCAATCTGCAACGAACAAGAACACATGCTCTACCGGTCGATGCTCTACGAGCAAACATCCCGAAGGAACAGCAAACCCAGAATTCTCGAGAGTGAACAACATATGAGGACTACACCGGTCCGCAGCAGACAAGCAGCAGCAAATTGCTGCATCGACTTTCACATCTTGGACTAGTATCCAATAGAGCCGCACTATCACAGAAGAAAAAACATGTCTCCGGACTATCACTATCCAATAGAGCCGGACTAGTATCCAATAGAGCCGGACTATCACAGAAAGCTGGTGTGCCTCAGGTTTTTGAACATGACCATGCTGGGTACTGGACAGACGCATGCAAAAGATTCAGGAACCATATGCGAATCACATTGGTCATTGGTCTTTCACATCTCCATATGGAGGTGGGTCGATCATTCAGAGTCAACATAAAATGCGTTTCCACATGAGTGGATCTCCCTAGCTGCCTGTGTCAAAATCAGTCTCTTTTCTTGTGGTATGAAGTCAGTTTAAGTCAGTGTTGCACTTTTGGTTGCACTTTTGGGAAAGATTGACCCTGCAAAAATGTATGAAGCACATAATCATTAATATATATAACTTACTATTTAGTTTGTATCATGTCGTGGGTAACCCCCGAGAAAAAGAAAAACATCCACACAATTGCTCAACACAACAGTCATGTGTGGAACTTCCATATGGCAACAGTGTACAAAATGTTCGGACATACGCATGTGGGAACTTCCTCGGAATCCTCAAACAAGCATCATATCATTCCAGCTGGTGATGTCGGTCTTCGCATCCAACTTTGCCTCCAGCTCAAGTTGTTCTCTCAAGAAGGGACCCTGAAACAGCAGTGGCAGTAGCAATTCTTGTGCAAGTCCCATGTAGTGTCTTTGGGAGTGTACCAGAGGGTACCTATATGGTTGTGATCAATCCATTTATCCACCACAACTCGGTGCCGATCCGACATCCAGCACGTTCCGACACCGGCATCCCAATGCACTGGGTGCTTTGAAGGCTCAGAAATTAGCCTCTTCTCAATCCAACTGGCAGGTCCCTCATGCTCCCTCCAAGATCCTCCAGTTTGAGGCCACACGTGGCTTCCCCGGGGCCCCAGAGTCGCAGATCGTTCGATCGTTTTTTGGAGCGACGTCGAGCTACGCTGGTGAGCTCATGTGCCCCTAAGCCGCGCCCCCTGCTACAGCTCCGTCTCTATCTTACAAGCGGAAAAAGGAACAACTTAGAACATCTGATAACCATTTCTGGCTCTGCGCGATCGAGACAAAGAGAGAAGCAACGTGTTTGCCAAGGCCCCTTTGGAAAGAAGCGGATTATATAAATAAGAGCAATCACCCTTCTCACTAGGTCAGAGTCTGAATCCAAACAAACATCTATAGAACAATGGGCAGTCACCTCATGCCTTTGGGACTGCCCCCTGCATTGCCCTGCATCACCCTGCTTTGCTGCGCCTGAAAGCCGTGGTTCACCTGCGTGATCTCCATATTCAAAGCCTCACATCTCTCGTGCACCTGCTTCGGTCTCAGCACGATTCGTTCGATGCTTCGACGGATAAGACCTCCACCGCCACAGCATCGATGTAATAAACAACATGATCTGTTTGGTGTGTCCACGGCATTGGCTAACAGGAGTTTCTCAACCTACAGTTTGTAAAGGAGACTCGTCAAACATCATCAAACCCACTTCCATGTCTAGAAGCGCATGTCTGGAGGGCGAGTGGTTGCAGGTGCTCGAAATGGACCTACTGAGCATAGTAGGTGATTGACCATTAGTTGATGGAAGGATGCAAGTATATGCAAGAGTCCTCTGGTGCCTCTCTAGTCTTTGTTCTTCACCATATGTGCAATAGAATCGGAACACCAACTGCTTCAGGGCACCACAAGGCAATCCACGCTTTCCCAGTGATCCAGGATGATTCAGGACATGGACATGGCATTTCTTAGGGAGGAACACTGAGTTGAGAGTATAGAAATCACTGGGTGGTTTCGCAGATCTGCTGCCTGCCGCCCCTCAAGTTTCCCTGAAATATAGTGACAGTGACGGTGGCTATATATATATATAAACACATAACTATATAATATATATATATATGTATGTATACCAGCAGTCACAAAGGAGTGCTTAATGGAGGTCAGGGGTGCCCATGCCATTGTCCACTCACTTAGGGACAAAAAACCACCCCTTTTTGACTCCTGGTGTATGCTTCTTCCACCTGTTGGGTGGCAGTGGGGAAACCAATCCCCACAAAAGGTTGCGCAAGGTTATCCACTGACTGGCTGGGCTGCGTGTTGCAGAAAGCAATGATGCCCTTGGGGTGCCGAGGGAAGAGTCCACAATCTTTTTCACAAAGTACGGTATCGAAGAGTTTGGTGCACGATTCTGCCAGTCTGCGGCTGGCCTTGCAGGGTGGGACCTTTTCTCACACTTCGAACAGCACAGCATCTTCAAAAAGTGGTGCAAAGAGGTTTGATGGCACTTGCACCATCTGGCACCCCAACATGTCTTAAAGAAATGGAATTCCATTGCTAAACCACCCAACTTAGATTGCCAACTTGGACATTTGTGCTCATCTACTACAGTATCCATCCATCCATAAAGGTGCACGATCCATTCCACGCTCCCGGCTCGACTATCTCCGGATGTCGCTCCCGTGACCGGCCCGGTCACGGATCGTCATGGTCAATCGATGTTGGCCTCTTGGAGACTTTGGGACACGTCCTCCATCCAAGCGTCATGCGCCTTCAACGCCTAGCGTCGTGCTCCCGCTGGACGCTCGCCGGAAGCTGCGGAGTTGCGAAGGCCGGCTGTCGAAGCCAACGATTGGGGGGGGAGACAATCACAGCGCAAATCACCCAAGAATCACATCTGGGAAGAGACCATCACTTGAAGTATTCTATCTCAGTGTATGGCGATCGCCTCAGGTGATCACGCCGATCTCTGGTCGGAACGGACCTGCCCAAAGGGCGACCTCCCACCTCCCACCGTCGCCGGGGCGCCACGCTTGGGATGACTCGGCGGAAAGACGACGTCCACACCTCCTGCATGTCTCCCATGTCCAAACGCATGGTGGAGATCTCCGCAGTGACAGTGGCCTCGGATGTAGACACGGTTGGGTGACGTAGAGACAGAAGACGGTGTATCCCATTACCTGACCCCAGTGGATGAGGATGCTTAGTAAGGGCCTTTAATTCTGTAAAATAGTGATAATTGATGATAGTTGTTCCTAATGAGATGCCCCCTCTATATATTATATATATATTCTAATATATAATACATATCTAAACAGTATACTGTCCTCTTTGCATATATGTGCATATATGCCAGCACGTCACCCTCAACGCACGCAGCAATCAACATCAATCAACACAACTCTGACATGCTCTCACCCTTGCACGCATCCTCGCATCACTGCAGGACGCGCGTCTTGGGGTATCTGATTGTAGCGTTTTAAGAAGAATCGCCGGATCAGGTCGTGCTTGGATGCTGATGTCTAGCACCAAAGAAGGACCCTGTAGGCCCTGTAACTCCAGAAGGTTGGCGCCTGGCCAGCGAAAAAGCCCTCCAAACTCAGACTGTCTGATACGCTTATGTCTCACATGACCTGACTCCCAGGTCCACCACTGACATATGGACCAAAACAAATAACCTATACCAGGGCCCCCGGTTTGGGGTGTCTATTTATGGCCCCTTAGAGGTGATTCGGGGTGTCCATGAACCACCCCCTTGTGGGTCCTGGTATACCGCATCATACCGCTATAGCTACGATCTCCTCAAAGCACAGCCACCTCCGTGCTGCACAGCCACCTCTACGCGCTGCCGTGAGGTGATGATGGAATGAGTGGAATCAACCTGGTTCGATCAAATGCCGGTGCCGATCCGCAGGTTCCCAGCGACAAAGGCACCCGGTGGTTGGGGCTCCTGGCCCCCCCCCCCTCCGTTTGGTTCGGTGGGCCAGGGGTGGCTGCCAGGGGGTCTATCTTCTGAGGATCTGGTTGGAACCCTATAGGGACTACAGACGTACACTCCCACTCACTAACATAGAAATGGAGTTCGTAGTCTTCCGGACCAGTAATGCGACTTCCATGTGATGTGTTCGGGAGAGGGGTAGATGTAGATTCGGTTGATGAACAAAGGACAACCACTAGGAACATCCCATTTAGATTGAACCACCCTCGCCAAATGCCCGCAAAAGCACATGTGCTGATGAGCGAAACAAAGAACAACCCGCCTGGCGTGCAAAGAGACTTCCCAAAGCTTTTCGAGGCAGGCTTGAGGTGCAAGTACACTAACCCTAGGGCTCCAAGGGCCTTCTAAGAAGGTGTTTGGGGTGGGTTTAGAGGGTCCAAATACCATCTGAGGAGGCACTTGGAGCCCTAGGCTAAGCCACAAGCCCAGAAATATCTAGAACATAGCTAGGTTTACCAGATAGGGATAGGTCTGGCGCTCGTCATACGCGCGCAGGTCATTTGTGAGACTGCTCCGCGGCAAAGGGGTCCTGACGCCGGAGATCCCTGACAATTAGAGATTAGCTTCTTCCACTTATTCTTCTTTGGTGTGGAAACCCATTCAGCAAAAGGATTGAGCTTTTTGCAGGTTCTCCACGTTTCAACAGGCCAGGGCTGGATGGCCGCCCGCCGTGTCAGCCATTGGTACAACTCAGTCTGAAGGAGGGGTCGCTGTCGGACAGGAGGGTTGAACAAATCCAACAGTAGATCTACTGTCCTTCGTTGGGGATGAACAGTTGTCCATCGTTGCCAACGTTTGGCGAACTAGATTGCCAGGGTTTTGAGCACCATATCTTCCAGAAACCTTCCAACAGGTCTCCTCTGGAGGCTTCCGGAGGCTTAGCCAATATTGAAACGTCGCAGGTGGCCCCTTTTATGGAGGCTCTTGGTTGGAATGCCCATTGGAAACCGCCTGTGTCTCTCGTCCTGTGTTTTGCCAGTCCCTACGCCTGCCAAGTACCTCCTCAGAAGGTATGACTGGACCCTCTAAACCCACCCTCTTAGCCGCCCGGTCGAGCATCCGGACCCTGGCTCTCATCTCATCCAGGTCGATGTTGACCGCATCCATGGCAGCAGTGAAGTCCTGCGGACATTCGTCAAACTCAACGGTGAGTGTTACGGCAAATGTACCAAACACTCCCAATGTGTACCGTCCAGGACCTTCAAAGTGACCTTTTGAGATCCCAGAATGAGGCCTCTAAGTGCTTCAAGAGGTCACCTAGAGACTCCAAAGAGATCAGTTTGGGGGTCCTGGGTTATGCTATCACAATTGATTGATGTTAATTGAGATCGTGAAGATACTCTTAGTCTACGCGATACTCTTAGTCTACGCGAAGCGCGATTTTATATTCAAATCCACACATCTTAAACTCAAAATGCAATTTCCTGGAGCTAGCAAAGCCCAAGCACTTGAGACCCCAGAATGAACAGGTCTGCTGCTATGCGGGGGCCATGGGGGGAATGAGGCTTGAATGAAGGAAACACAATTAATATACAGTATAGGTTTTAAGAGTCAAAATGTTGGAGGTGATCGAGTTCTCTTGCTCTGCCCGTGACCATGTCGAAGGTGCACCCCACTCACCGTCCTTGGTTTTGGACTGCAACCAGTGCAAGAATCAACGCAACACCCAGCAAACGCTATCCATTTGGGCAAAAACTGGCAGTTCCTAGCTCGCAGTGAACATAGACTTGCCATGTATAGAAATGTAACATTTATATATAGTTAATGATCTTTAAACATCAGCTGGTGCTACCCAGCCCACCTTCCCTCGGCTTCCGTCCGCTCCTCCATGTCCCGCTCACAGGCCAAAACGATCCGCTTCACGTGTGCCGTGTCGCTCTTGGCTCCGCTCAGCAAGTCCTTTGGAGCGGGCCCTTCACCATCCGCTGTCCATGTGGGCATCTCCACGATCCAAACGGTCCGAACCTTCACAGTTTGTGCCAATTCACCAGGTAACCATCTTGATCCTGTTTCAGGTGACCCAAATTTGGTGACCCGAAACCTGAAAGAAGAAAACGAGAAGTGCTGGAAGAAACGTGAAGTCCGCATACATCCGCTGGGAGTTGTCCACTTTCATGTTTGTTGGTGGGAGGGTATGTCACCCAGTGCATCTTTGACCAATATATAAGGAACCAGGGATTCTAATTAGGTCTATGGTGTTAGTCTTGGGAACCACTGGGACTCCCAGCTATAGTCAGTGGTTTGCCTGGATGCCCTGGCATGTATATGAATGCTTCAGTCTCTTTCGTTCCTTCTCCAGCCGCCCTGGGTATCCCTGTGGACGCTAGACCGGTCGGTCGGTCTTGCGTCTCTCCTTCAGCTCCCCCACGTCGTACTTCACAGCCTCAGTGAAGCCAACGAACAGCACGACAGCGGAACGGGGCCGTGTGAGAAGCCAACTCATCGTCCATCCAGACGCCGGTTTTAGGGTCCATTCCACAGGTCGAGTCAAGAACATGTTGGAGTCGGACGTTGGAGCGTTTGACGTTACACGCTTTCATGTTTCTTTCGCAAGCAGTTTGCTGTTGGGGCTCTCCCTTACAGAAATCATCTGGCCACAGTCCCCGGCCGCGCCGGTCTAGCCGACTCTAGCCGCTATGTCCGTGGTCCTCCCTCCCGGGCGCGAAACCATTTTTGGGCCTCCACTGGTGACTTGGAGGGTCCTGAGTCCTGTGAAGTCAATGAACATAATATATACAGTATATATATATATATAGTATTTATATATATAATATATATATATGCACGAGTACCAGGATCTTCAAACGGCACGCATTTTTACCGGAGACATTTTTCAGTGAAAAGACGCCATCACAAAAAGACAATACCGATTTGAGGGGTTGCAAACACGTTTGGAAGCCTAAACACGCAAATTGAATAACGTGATTTAACATGTTTGGAAGCCTAAATAAACCTGTACAAATACATGTCGATCTATTCTTACCTACAAACCTCCATCAATCGAGCGCCGCGGATCGGAGCGCGCTTGTTGAGTGGGGAAACCTAAAGAGGCGCCATTTCTATTGGGTTTCTGCCGGTTTCTGCTGGTCACAAGAAACAAACGCCGTCCTTCGTCCTTTTCTCTTGACAAGGCAATTATTTGTGCCGTTTCGAAGATCCAGGTGTATCATGATCATCTCAAATCTCAGGTGCTGTGGAAGTTCTTCCACATGTGGTGAGGGCATCTCTCCTGAGCTGCCCCGCCTTGGTGTACATCTTCTGAATGCTCTCAGGTTACTCTCAGGTTACCACACCATCTTTCATAGGGGTTACCTAGAAAAAATCAGCACATACAAGTACATACATTGAAAAGGCACTCTTCCCAAGGAAACCTGCAACCCCCGTCTCATGAGGGACATAGCCACTTCGTGAGAACAATCACCGTGCCTATGCTCCTTGACTCCTTGAAATCATGGAAAGTGGCGGCCCAACTCCACTGCCATGACTTCAAAGGATCGAGTGCAAATGAGTGCAGTGCCATCCGAAATCGCTCCCCTTGGGCTCCCAGGCGTCCAGCTCCTGACTCCAGCTGGCGCCCTCGCACGGCTCGTCGCCCGTCCTGACCGCGCGGGTTCGGCGCGGGGTCGAAGGTTCGATGCCATCTGTGAGAAGTGCCCTGGTCACTCATGTCACCCACCGCCTTCGAGAGTTCAAGAAGCTGAGCTTCTTCTCGATGTCTTGGTTGTGGGCCTGGCAGTCTTTGGACACACTTGCACGCCTTTTGAATTGTTGATGTTCCAGGCCCAGGTTTGTGTTCGGATTTCTGCCCTGAAGCTCCCGCATCTCAGGAGAAACTCCCAAGATTGGTAAAACAAACACTTATAGAATAAAACTTATACAGGTGCGCGACTCAATGGAACTTGTTGTGTGGCCCCTTCTGATGGGGGTCCTGTATGGTCCTGTAGAGATTGATTCAAACAGGGTTCCGCGTGCTGAAAGGTTGTTTGCAGAGTTGCCTCAGCTCACCGAAAAATCCAGATCTGTCCCTTGTCTTCGGAACAGTTTCAAGGGGCCCATGCTGACCGTGATGGGGAACTACACCAGAAAAAGGCCGCCAACCGCGGTGATTTCGATTTCAAGGCGAGAACCGAAGATTCGACTCCAACTGCTGTGCGTGGTGTACCTGGTAGTCGACCTCGAATCCACTCAAACAGGTCCGTGCATTTTGCGTCAAGTCAGCGTGTCAGGCAGCTTCAGGTCCGAAACCCGGCCAACCAAATTCAAACGTCGTGGACCATCTGTCTTGGAATTCATGGTAAGGGAGTACAAGCCAAAGGAAGGACGGAAAAGGGATTGGTGACAGGTTCTCCGCAAAGTACAAGCCAAAGGCCAGGAAATTGGAAGAAAGAATACAATATGATGAAAGGTGGACGTGTCAGCTTGGTCAGGTCAGAAGTTGTGGGGGGGGTCGAGCCGCTACACCAAAGCCTCCCTCAGCTCCCCCTGCTAGCATCAAATACTTGTCCCTTTGAACATGCTGAAGGGCATTACTTATTTATCTTGTATTTGTCAACTGGTCTGTCCTGCATGTAAAATACACAAATCCGGCTGTTTGTTAGCAGCACTTGCAGGTAGACGATGGGGAGTCATATTGACCAAATCTCCTTCACTAGTAGATACTGCAAAGGAGACAATGATAGATACTGCAAGTTACAATTCAGATCACTTCTTGGCCAAGTCTCGGACAGCAAGGAGGTGTCGCGTGCTGACCGAGGCGCTCTGCTCTGCGAAGGGTTGATTTTCAAGCTGCAAGAAGGATGGCTTGTAGGAAGTTACAAGGTCACTCGGCAGGCATGGCGAGGATCTTCTGACTCATCATCACGATTATTGTGGCTGCTACACTTATCTATCAGAATCATAGTTTGCTACATTTATGATATTTTGGTGAATCATACATACATACACATGCATACAAACACACATGCTCACACATTGTCACATATGTGTATCTTCTGATAATTGCTCTGGATTGCTGGGACGCACCCAAATCCTACCAGCTCCAGCGTTTGCAGGCTCTGAGCTTGAGAACCATCCATCAGGGTCTTCGTCGAGTGTTCATGTTTTGATGAGTTCACTTCAGGGAGTTGGGGTATCATAATGTATAGCTATGAGGGTAGGGAAAGGGAATAGCCGCCATCATCAACAGCCAACAACCACAACTCACCTATACAACCATCAACCAGCCACCATGGACCATTCACAAGCAGCAACAACAACCACAACCACTATGATGGTGGCGACGGCCAAAGCGACGATGACGAGGACATACGAGGACGACAACCACAACCACCACCACTTGTTTCACCACAACCCTTTGTTTTTGCAGGTGTTCCCTGAGTAACCCTTCCATGTCCATGGCTAGACCGGTCAGGGAATCTCTCAGTCTCAGCCCACCATGGTGCCATAGAAACACACCTGTACCTAATAATTGATGCTTCTATAAAGGTCACTCATAGGTAAAAAAGGAGAAGGTCACTTATAGAAGACTCTCATGCCGTGCTCCACCAGCTTTCCTGACTTCAAAACAGTGCTTCCCTTCGTCTTGTGCTCACGCCCTCAGCACACGCTGCCGTGAGGTGTAGCTTGGCTACATCGGCAAAAGTCTATGGGAGTCACATGACCCAATCCCAGGCTGTCCACCTGCTGATGGACATACAATAAAGAACGTCCAATCAAGTGTGTGTTTGGAGCCGATTGTCTCATCCACCCACGGATAGATGGTCAAACTGTTTGCCACTGTTCACCCTAAAGGATGATTGTTTTCGTAAGCTGTGCTGGACTTCAGAAGGGCGCCGATGGACCAATGGAACGGAAGCCCGTCCCTTCACGCCGAAATGATCAGGCACAATAAGTGGCCCTCTGCTTTTGCATGTCCAAAAGGCCACAAAACCTCTAGATCCTCAAAGAGTAAGACTGGGTAGGTAGATATGGAGTATACGTAATCTTGTTTGTGCGCATTATTATGGCGGTAAGTAGATGTTTTTGTTGTACATAACTGCTGAGCTGAGAAAGCCACTCCAAAATAACTGCTGCCTAAGGGCAACTCTTTCATTCCATCCAAGAACTGTGAAAGGGACCCGGCCATGCTACTCGTTGTGGACGTGGTGGCCACTACGAAACACCCTCGCTCAGAACATCATGTCTCGCTCAGGCACTACGTGGCGCAGGATCTTCGGCCTTCTTAAGCATCGTGGGATCAATAATATATAAATAGACAGATTAATATATATATATTATAATTACATATATTAGTTATATATACATGACAATAATATATATATATACACACCAGGACCTCGAAGCAGGAAGAGGTCACTTTGAAGGTCCTGGTTTATATAAACAATGCTAAATAGCTGTGTAATATGGTCATATATGGATATATATATATATTATGGTCTTGGACCTTGGAAATGCGAGGAATTGGACCCCAAAAAGACCATGAACCTGAGCAATTTAAGCAATGATCATGGACCTTCATTGACCTTGATCATCGATCCCCCTGAAATCAACCACCAACCACCAGCTACTAGTATGTCAGTCCCGTCCCACAACTTGTCTGGCGCAAATCAGCGTGTTTCGACATGCTGCGACGGTGTCCCTCACCCACCGAGCACGGTGTCTTTTCATGTCTTTACCAAGCAATCTTTACCAAGCACGGTGCAGCCATTATTGACGATAGGGCTTCACCAGGCTTCGTCACTTCCCCCAACACCCGCATCTTCCGAGATTCAGAACCACCGCCACCGCCCTCCTTCCCCTCCTTTCCGAAACCCGGTCTTCGAACACTGAACACCAAATATGGACGGTTTTCATACAGCACACCTCCACCGTGGGGAGCCCTGAAGGTCCAGCGCCTCATTTCCGCTGTGGGAGGTGCCGGACCGCTTTCACCAGTTGAGCCTCGAGGCGCTCGCGCCCGCGAGAAGCGCAGCGGCTCTGGTCGAAGCGGCCGCAGCTGGGAGAAACGTGGGAAGTCCTTCTGGTGTAGCCCGTGCCGGGCTCTGGCATGACGGTAGCGTTGAGACGTTACACACCAAGCGCGTGTTACACTGTTACATGTGAACTCGTGTGAACAACCCAATTCCGTCTTGATCGAACATGGGCCTGTTTTCAAGTGGCCATTAGATGCCATTAGCAATTGCATGCAACTACTGGCATGGCCGGAGAAAGAATGATCCGCAAATGTCTCGGGCATTTGGGCACCAGCGCGGTGCAAAAGTGAATCCGGCATGGTTAATTTTCACTGAAGCACTCCATTGGACTGGCATATTCACCTACTTTGGAATAGGTGTCAGGTCTGTGTATCATGTCTAGGTCAATCCCAAGTGGCCATCGCATCCTTCAAATCATCCTTCATAGGTTCCCCACCCACTTCTTTCAGCCTTGGCCGCGAGACGACTTGGCAACGCACACGACCCCCCTTCATCGAAAACACACACACACACACTCTCTCCAACGCACGCGACATGATGGGAGTAGATCATGGCGGCTAATGGCCTTAGAAAAAGCTCATGAAACAAACCAATGGCCCCGTACCAACAGGTGCTTTTCCACTCCAAAGATACATGACTCGTAAGCCTGGCTCGGCCAATCTTTCCAGCCAAGAGCTCACAGGGGTCTTCATCCTCTGGGGCGATACCAACAAAGCCCCCGAAAGTACCACACAGCTCCTTCTCAAATGGGGTTTATGTGGTTTTGGTGTGAGCTCGGAAAAGGGCACCCACCAAACCAATGTTGGTAACACTTTGTGTTTAAACTGGGTTCTATGCACTGACTATAGAAACTATCGGTGCGGCCAAACTTCAGCGCACGACACATAGATTCACTATCAAATCAATCAACTCCTTGATACCACAATATACTGTAACCAATGAAACGAACCGCTATACTATCCTGAAAGGTTTGGGCATGATTTAGTAGAGACAAGGGGTACCATTCCAACATTCAGCTCCCCTCAAGGTCTTGTATGACAGAATAGTACTTGAGAGGAGGGAGACACGAAAGGTAGGACAGCGGGAAGAGAAGAGAACGCGAGAGGCAGGAACAAAAATGCAATGTTCGACATGGTGATTTATCCCCTCGGAGGCGACCTTTCGTAAATATATGTTCATATGCACTCTAAATGTTCAAACATATGCTCTCGAAATGTTCAAAAAGATTCTTAGGAAAACAAACTTGCCCCATGGCTCAGATCATCGGTGAGCATTGAATCGGAACATCATAGGATTTGAACTATCCTGAAACCATAAGAGGCTCACGAAGACGCTCCCCAGGAGAGAATTGACGTGCTTCACAAAACAAACTCTAGGTATGTATCCCCTCGGGGAACACCTTTCGTGATTAGAATTTCATATTCACTCTTTCTGAATGTTCAAGAGGGTTTCAACTATCCTGAAATCATGAGAGGCTCACGAAGATGTTCTCCAGGAGAGAATTGATTTTAGAGGGGGGGAGGGGAGGGGAGGGGGTCTGTATTGAAAAATCAATTCCAAGGGGGCGGGGGGGGGGGGGTCTGAATTGAGCGATCAATTATTAGACCCGGACGTCCCAACACTTGCTTCGCAAGACAAACTCAAGGTATCCCCTAAAGGGCTACCTTTCGTGATATGTGTCCTTTATGCGTCCTTTATTGAAATTAACTATGTCATACATATTCATAATTCATATATATAATTTGTGACTTTTGTCTT